AGACTACAAGAAAAAATCTTTCCCAGAGGGGATAAGTCCTAAGACTTAGTAGTTAAGGACGAGAAAATCGTCGTACCTAGACTATGCAGAAAAACTAGTTGAATGGTACAATGGTGTGCTGATGCATCATGGCGAGACTCGCACGGAACTAACCATAGCCAACACTACACCTGGAGGGTCTCGCAGGACGTTGCAGGCCGTTTGTCAGCGTTGCCAAAGCTGCCAGATGAACAAACCAAGACGCGTAGCTGGGATTGATGCCTCCAAAGACTTGCGAGGAGATCCTTGGGAAAGACAATGTATTGACCTGATAGGTCCTACAACGTCGGGGATCCTAAGAAAAAGAAATTCCTGCACACTTCATTGCTTGACAATGATTGATCCCGTAACCGGATGGTTTCGAGATTGGCAGAGATCTGCTCCAAGCAGCAGACAAGTAGCCATCGTCCTATAGCAAACGTGGCTTACTCGGTACCCATGGCCTGCTGAGGTTATAATGGATAGAGGACGTGAGTTCCGCGCAGAGGTCGAAAAGACTCTCCGGATGAATATGGACTTCGTCGCAAGTTCATCACTACGCGTAACCCTCAAGCCAACTCTATGGTCGAGGGTGCTCATCAAACCATACGTAACTTGATCGCTGTTCAAAACATCAAGTGCCAAGATGACTCGTGAATGGATCCTGGATGGATCCTCACGCGGTTCGCTTTGCAATGATGCCACGATTCATACCACCTTGCTGGCAACGCCCGCACAGCTCGTGTTCAATCGTGACGATTCACACATCCGGTTCGAAGCCAACTGGAAATACATTAAGGAACGTCGCCAACGACTAATCCAACAAACAACGATAGGGAAAACGCAACGCGTGTCCTCATCAGTACAATGTCAACGATACTGTGATGATTCAACAGTATCCAGCACCGCAAGTACGGTCAGCCAAAGTACAAAGGTCCTTACACTATAGACCGAGTCAATGACAATGGCACTGTACGGCTCCAACATGCTACCGCCAACGGCGGCACAGTCTTACCAGACTTGGAACATAAGGTAAATACACCCATACAAGGCCCGATCCCCTTGTAGGATTGCCATCGTGCGGCGCACATGTCTACATCCAAATCTCATGAGAGTGCCCCGCACTTTAAATCATATGTTCTCCTTGTCCGACTGCTGTGCGCCTTCTGTGACCCTTGTCAGGGGGCGAATGCAATACACGGCTCTTAGCCTTATTCGCGACTGATCCTAGATAGGGTTGAGTTCGACTCATGACTGAGTCTCTCGTGAATAGTCATCTGAGACAGGGTTCTCAATGACCGCGCTAGTCATACTAGGTTGATGATGAAACATCGCTCTAGATATTTAGCCAGCGTGGAGTACTTCCACGCTACTAGATCCAGGCTAGACAGACCTTCCACGCGTTCCGTTTTAGGATCGTGGAGAGACGTAGGCTCACTACCACAACCTACTCTATCACACTTTATAGTCTCCCGCGGGAAGCCAGATCTACGATCCCTTGATGATGATCTCTCTCGTTGATTAGTTTTCATAGCTTTCTAATCTCTCTCATAACTTTCATTCTCTCAAACTCAAAACACTCGAAAGATCTTTACACTAGCTTTTAGCGTAGTGCAGAGGAGTGACGGAAGGTGTCAACAGCAAGAACATGTTGACTGATCGTGCACACATGAACGAAAATAGATGCCCATGGTGGGATGCGATTTACTTTGGATGCAACGGCTAAATCCAAAACTGGAAAGACTTTCTGTGACTGGAGAGCCGGCCATCTAGTTTAAAACTAAGCCTCACATTTTGAGCTCACATTTTGCCAACAGGTCCATTTTGGTCGTGTTGCCACTTGGGGAGTCCTTGTTCTCAACAGTAACATGGTAAAATGACCAAACAAAGGTTACGCGGCAGAGCCTTACACAATGGAGTATTGCCGCGTAGCCTTTGTTTTGGTGTTTTACCATCTTCTCATTGATCTATTGGGCTCCCCAACTACAATACCAGAGTTTTTCAATGCGTCGGTATGGTGTAAGACAACAAGGGACAGCGAGCATTATAGGTCCGTCTTGTCTGAAGACACAATGTCATCATCATGGACCACAGCCAGGCTAGGGTACCAATCAGCAGGATGCGACGACAATGATCGTGGAATGGGTTGGCATGTTGGCATCGGTGAAAGACACTTTGTTCCAAACTACGGCTACCGGTACACTATGAGTATAGGGTGCGCGACGGGGTCAACGAGTTCATAGATAAAGGGAACATGGCGGGGGAAATGATGTTATCATGAGTTAACTATCTTTATTGTTAAGATGGATGCACCTAGGATTTGTGATTTACTCAAGAACGCGTTGGAGGGGGTGTGTAGTCCATTTTAGTAGACATCACTCCAATCATGCAAGTAGTTCTTCCAGCTCGTCATTGGATCCTATTTTCAGCACATCGTCGTGCCTTTCGGCGGCCCGAAAGTTCTCAAGCTCGCTTGCAAGCTCGATTCTCAGGCCTACGTCTTTTCACCATTTCCACGAACAACCCTTCGCCAAACGGCTTGAAGAGATATTGAATCGCGTCATCGGCAAACACAATGCTGTTCTGTGGCCAAGCTTTGTAGCGGTCAAGGAGTGTCAAGGTGAAAGAGAAGGTTGGTAGCTGCTCCAAGAGGGCAGGGGTCGTGGCGTCGTGGCATATAAGTGCTCAATTATTGGTTGGAACATCACGTGCTCTGTTTCTCTCAAGGAGTTTGTTCTGCCCCAAAATAAATGAAGTTCCTTACATTTAAAAAGATTTAAAGAATACCGGTACCTCAATGTTGGATAATCAAGATCGCATCGCCAACGTGTGCAGCATGAAGCAAAGCACGAGGCTCAGACGCTGGGACAACTGGAGACTGGAGGCCTGGGTTACTCGGCATTTTGTCTGTTTCGGAAAGTGTTTTGGCGATTAATTAAGTGATCCCTATGTAAATGTCTACACAGGGTTAGTAGACATAAGTAGACAAAGTAGACATTGTGCGACATTAGGAGACATTAGTAGACAAAGTGATACATTGGTAGACATTGGTAGACAAAGTGAGACATTGTGAGACATTGTGAGACATTGGTAGATAAAAAGAGACATTTTTGTACTGTTTCACTGTACTGTGTAGACAAAGTGAGACATTGGTAGACATTAGTAGACATTGTGAGACATTGTGAGACATTGTGAGACATTGGTAGACATTCTGAGACATTGTGAGACATAAGCCACTTTTACAAAGGAGCATAGAACATTTAGGCAACTCTGTAATCAGATACAATAGCCTTAAATAGACAAAATGCCGAGTAACCCTGAGGCCTGGACGCTGTCATTGGCAACTTGGTTGGTATTTACTGTTTACTGATTACTGACTGGAGGGGCCAAACAGTAGCAGTAATGGCAGTAATGCAGTAATTCCTCAGTAGCAGTAATCAGGTACAGTAATTTAAAGCCATTTGAAGGCAGTAAATCACAGTAATTGCAGTAAAAAAGGGTGATTACTGTGCTTTTACTGTCATTTACTGTCAATTACTGTTAAATTGGCAGATTTATTACTGCCAGGAATTACTGACTGCAGTAACTACTGGCCAATAAAGGCAGTAAAAGTACAGTAAGTAACCAGTAACCAGGAATTACTGCAGTAATTACCGACCAAGATTGGCAATTGGCAGATTGGCATGGCGGATTGGCGGATTAGCAGCTTGCCTTGTCTGATTGAATCGACTCATTCGAATCGCGGAGCAGCTCCTGGACATGTACATGGAGCATTGCCGGAGTATTGCCGGACAGCCGGACAGCTGGCAGTGACCAGACCTTATGTGAACAGATGATGATGGAAGATGGCAGGGAGATACCAGCTAGTAGCAGATAAGCACAACCAATAGATGGGACTAGCTAGCTAGTATCGTAGTTAAGTCGAGCCAAAGCATCCCTAAATTAGAACGGAACCTCTAGAGAGCTAGCAATGGGCCAGATGCACCGCTGTCTGCTCTCTTCCGACAGAGCAAGCAGCTTGTCCTTCTATGATGTGAACCTACCGGTAGCTGGGGTCACGGGTATCCATTTTGATGGAGCCGGTACACTGTAGCATTCCAAAGAGAGGATGTGTTTGGATGTTCTTTTCCAATGGTTCCAATGAAACATGTCGTGTAACTTTGAAGGCAGAAGGCAGCGGGATGCGTACCGGTACAATCGGCGCAAAGACGAACAATGTTGAGATACTGTCTACCCGAGTAGCTACCGTACTAGTAGCTACTCAGAGTAGTCAGTACTACCTGGTACGGCAATGTGGTGTGCATACGTACTATGTGTCGCTGAATGATCGCGGAAGGTTAATGTGGGAATTGACCAGATGCCAAGCAATGGCTAGCCATCTGGACAATGATTCTTTGCCGAAATAAGCAGCTTGTCATTCCAAGCGGACCTTCCAAAATCCGTTCGGAACTCTTGGAAATCTTCTAGTCTATCTATCTTATCAGTTATCAGTCTACTAGAGACTAGCTAGTAGTAGTACCGGAACCGTGTGAGCCGGGCCCAACAGCTCAAGACCATCATCTTATTTTCTAAAAACTATTGAACCAGGAGTAAGGCATTCAGGCCTTCACAACCGTGAGGCTCTTGACCTTCCCGTCGGATGTCAATTCCATGGTCTGAATTACACTAACACTCATCAAGCCAACCTTGTGCTTACCCTTTCGTTTGAATTGCAGCTCATTGTCGCCTTCTTCAAAGTTCTCAAATGTTGGTCCTTCCTTCTTCGATGCTTCCTTCAGCCAGCCGGCTCTGTCGAGTGTCTTCTTGGGGCTGGTCAAAGAAAAGTCCTCTGTCAACATCAGTTCAAGTTCGTCAATTTTCCCTTCCTTCATAAGGGACTCGAACATCCTGGCGGTCTCCATTGTAGCTTGCTTGTTCTGTTTCCTGCGTAAACTTACTTCCTATTGGTAAGATTGAGTGATAGCAAGCACTGGATGAGATCTCTTGCGCACGCCAGAACAAAGTCCCCCCGTTTCCGGAAATGTATAGAGTTTATCCAACCAGAGCGGCACTGTCATATTTCCGGCTTACCTTGATTTTAGATTTGTTTCGGCTTGTTTCGTTTGTCTGAATACGAAATTATGGCAGAGCAACGATTGCTTTCCTCCAATTTGGATTTGTGTAAGCGCTTCCAGCATCCTGCTTGTCGTGCTGTCAAAGCGCTTCCAACATCGTGCTTGGGGTCCGGTGCCAGTCTTCGGCTGCTTGCACTCCGAAAGCGGTGCCAGTCTTCGGCTCGACCTGGAAGACAGCATTTGAAACGTAGATGGGGTATTAATAGTTTTAGAGGTTAATCTACAGTACCTCAACTCCTCGAGTCCCAAATTGTCTTTGCGGAAAGATACTTTGGCACGACTCAGTCGTCATCACGACTTTGTGAGTCACTCTGGCGAACAACTATGCAAGCTTACCTCACTGGGAAGATTATGGTTTGTTGTCTGTTTTTTCTAGGATTTTACATAGCAACCAGGAGCCATTTGAAAGCAGAAGTTTATCGGCAGCCAATCCAAGAGGCCATCTAGCAAATCTATGCATAGCGACGACAACTGTAGCGCCGTTATTGCGTGTGGTACCGGTACAATGGCTCTACTATCTAGGAGGCTGCAGGGGGGGGGGGCGAAAGACGAGACCTTCAAAGGTGCGCAAGGGAAAGATGTCTTTTTAATTTCTTAGGCTAGCTAAAGAAAGCATGAGTATAAATTCTTTTGTCCGGTAGCTAGAGTGATGTTGGTCAGGGATGCCCTCGACTATGACCCTACAGGTTGGTGATTGGTGTTGTTCGTGGAGTGCTTTTTTTTTCTGTTTGATTTTTGTGCGTGGTGTATTGTTGTTGACTTGATGAATGTTGTGCAAATGAATTCTACGAATCCGTCGTCTTTGATAGATGTGTGGCTTTTAGGCTTTGGCTCCCTTGATGGACACGATCTTGCCCGCATCATCAAACGTCCATGTCTCTTTCATGGTCAAGTTCACCATCATCATCCTTTTCTTTCCGCTCCGCTTGACTTCCTTGTCGTTGCTACCCGGTTCAAAGTCGGTAAATTCAGGTCGCTCTTTGTGTAGCTTCTCGGCATTTTCCATCCATTGCTGCTTCGTCAGCGTATGCATAGGCGTTGTGAACTCAAAGTCGTCAGTCACCATGGCAGCGGCTTCTTCAATCTTGCCCTCGGACATCAGAGCATCGAATTTCTTGGCGGTTTCCATGGCACTCATTTTCTCGTTGACCTGCAGTGGCGAGCACGTTGAATCCGAGGAAGGAACTGCTTGGTCAGACGAGATGCCACAAGCCATGCCCCCCAAAAAAGAATCCACCGATGCGACGAACAGGAGAGAAAACAATGTCAACAAGTAGTTCATTTTCAAAGCAACGCACCTAGTAAGTGTTCTGGAATTTGTGTGGAGTGGGCTGCTTTGTTGTGTAATCTTTTTTATGAGAGCGGGTTGTGAGAGTTGCTGCTTCTCCTGGCTGGACTTGCTGGCCTGGTACCTGGTATCCGGTTCCCGTGCAGAGATCTTACGGTGTGGGCGTCAGCAGATCCTTCATGCCGCCAAGCCGCCAACCATGCCGCGACTAGATTTCTGTCCCACGTACTGCGGTGCCTCTCGGTATGCATACTAGCTAGTACTGGACTACACGTACGTACGAGGGGGGTCAACCAGTTTCGGGGGTTGTTAGGGAAAACACGAGGGAAGTTTGGGACTATCATACATGCATGTATCGCTACGAGGTTGGATCAGTTTCAGTTTCACACATGGATTAATAGTAATTAAATCAAAGGGTACTACGAGGTTGGATCAGGGGCCACCGGGGACCAGCACGATGTCCCAGCATTAATAGTTGGTGCTGGCTGGCCGGTTGCAACAGCTCGAAGCTGCTCACCTCCCGAGTTGCATGAGCCAGGTACGTGTAGGCCTTCTTGAGATCGTCCTGGTGTGGTTTAGGTAGGGGTCTTGCGATGAATGGTGCCAACCGGTGCTAGCTACAGTCGTAGTAGGATCTTTTAAATTTCTGATTCAATCAAGGAGCGAGGACTCCAGCCTCAGGGAGCAGGGAACATCAATAGTAGTAGTGGCCAACAAAGCTCCCAAAGCGAAAGGGTCGGGGTAGATCTTGGATTGTCGCCTTTTCATTCCACTTATTCCATTCAACTCTGGTGACTCTGGTGTATTCGGAGGGATCTTTTCACCTCCCAGTTCTTTCTTGGTTTGCGATGGAATGGTGTTCGGACCCGGAGTTGGGAGAGGGTGGGCTGGTGCGGGACCGGGAATTGGTCGTCGCGGGGTCTATCGCTGGTACGTAGGAAAGCGATCGTTCCAAAAAGGTTGACCAGGCAGGTGTCACTTCTTTGGAACTTCTTTGTAGGAAAGGATCTGGCGTTTAGCCAATGTAATAGTCCGGTAAGCAATATGCAAGGAGTGAGCCCTGGAATACTTGTAGATCTTGTTGGCTGTCGAGGACGGGTCCAGGGTTGGGCCTGGAGTGGATCAGGGAGCGGGGCGTGGCCATACGGTGCTGGGCTTCTCTGGTTCCTGTTCGATTCCAAGCCTTAGTGCCCAATTTGGTGGTGGAGTTGGGCATGGTATTAGTGGTGGAGTAATAAGTCCGTGGTCAGACCCATTAGAACGCCCGCAACAAGTGGGGAGTTCCGGTCTTGAACGCGAAGAGCCAATATGAGCCCTGTGGGCGCGTACGACTGTGGACCCACTGGCAAGAAGCAGGCCTCGATGTACGTAACCCACAGCAACAAAGAGCCAGCCTGTAGTAGCCGTGGAATGTCAAGTGAACGGACGTGTCTGGAGCGGCAAGATATGCACATAGAATGCTTAGAACTAGTGAATAGCAATATACAAATCGTATCTAGTTAGCATAGAATTCCGCCATCAAATGCACCTCCGTGCATCCACTCTAGCTACGGTAGGCGCTTCCAACATCATGCGGATCAAGCGTTTTCAGCATTCGGCGGAGCAGGCACGCCTACTCTTCTTCTCTTCTTTTTCAGGTCCATGTCTTCCCAAGCCGAGTCTAGCGAAGGTAAGTTAATTGGTTTGAACAACACAATTTCAGCACCCGACTGTTTGAAAGTTGCAACATCCTCCGCAAGGACGTTGCCTGTCAAACCGAAAATATAAGCTTTGCAGCCCAGTTCACGCAGCCGCTCTGTTGCTTGTGGCCCGTTCATTGTAGGCATTTCGAAGCTAAGTTTTCAGAGAGAGAGAAGTGGTCGTCGTGAGAGAACCACACACAATCGAGCAACACGCAAGCAACACGTTCACACAGACTTACTCCATTAGAATAGTGTCAAACGGTCTCTCGGTGCCATCCTTTTGCTGCCGCAGGAATGCCTCGACTGCTTCTTGCCCATTGGCCGCAGTTTCGCATTTGTGTCCCGCCCGCTGGAGTAACCGCGCCAACATTTTCGTGTTGGTCACGACATCGTCTACCACCAGTACGTGATGAGTGTTATCATCCTGTATTGCGGCGGAGCTTTGGGATCCTGTCACAGAGGTCGCCGTCGACCCCTCCTTGTCCCTCGGTTTCGACGACGAAGCCAACTGCATGTTCTCAAAGAGTGGCAAGTCAATAAAGAACTCGGATCCGCATCCAATCCCTTCGGACGCGGCTTGGATGCGTCCTTGATGTTGATGCACAATCTCTCGTGTCAGACAAAGACCCAACCCACTGCCACCTCCGTGTTGCAGAATCTCTGGATTGAATTGAACTCCTTCGTTAAAGAGCAACGCCAATTGGTCCTGGTTGAGTCCCACTCCATTGTCCTTGACCGCAATTCGGATGGCACCTGCTCGTTGACTGTGTTCCACAATCATGCCGTGGTCTTCAGGTTCCTTGACCATTTCGGGTGTGACCTCCGCATCGGGCAAGCCCTTGGGCAAGTGCGAAATGGTAACGTGAATGTCTTTGTTTTCGCAGAATTTCAACGCGTTTGAAATCAAGTTTCGAACCACGAGATTGAGACGTCGCTCGTCACCGAGCACAAAGAGTCGTTCCTCGGACGCTCTGGGGTCGTCATTGCCCTCGATGACGGTGTGGGTAAGAATGTTAATGTTTCGATTCCGTGCCTGAATGGCGAATTCTCCAACTGTCTTGCGAATGCTGCGGAAGATGTGGACCGAGCGAAATTCGAGATCAAACGTCCCGCTCGTGACGCGGTCAAAGTTGAGCAGGTCAGAGAGGACTTGGACGGCATTTTGAGAGTTTTCTTGGATTTCATTGGCCAACACTAGTAGTTGTTCGGCATCAATATCGTTCGTAGTGGTGTCTTGTTGTCCGGAAGTAGGAGGAGAGGAGGATGTGGGAGGAAGAGGCGCGGCGGGGGACATTGCAAAGAGAGGGGAGGGAGGAGGAGGCGTTGCAGAGGACATTGCAAAGAGAGGTTGCGGCTTTTTGGCTTCATCCTCTTTCTTCTTTTTGGCTTCCGCCTCTTTGTCCTTGGCCACGATAGCATCGAGATGCTCTCGCAGTTCTGTGATCATGAGATCCAGTCCCATACAAACTACGTTGAGAGGAGTTCGAATTTCGTGGCTCACTGCAAAATTAAATGCAATAATAGACACAAGAAACGAGGGTGAGACGTGAGTTGCGTTTAGCTAATTGCGGGTGCTCTGTGTGTTGCTTTGAAGATGTACGTACCAAATCGAACGAAGCGTCTCTTGGCTTCCAGCACAACTTTGCGCTGGTGTGCTTCGTACTTCATAAAATGATCGTAGAGGAAGAACACGAGCGTGCAAAAGACAATCACCGCGACGAATCCAATCGCGGCAAAGAGCGGCACTTGGGAAGAATGATTGTCGTACATTTCTTGGGTCGGATAGACTGTGAGAGTGAACTTGGCACTGCCCTTGGCCTGCGTTTCGTACATGTCATTGAGCAGAATGGATCGTCCCATGTGATCATAGTTGTCTTCGTGAAAATCTCCTTCTCCCACGAGACGCGGTTGTCCGTGTTCCATACTGTAAGTGAAACTGTCTCCTCGCTCATTGCTCACAACGCAGTCGAGTCCATGGACAAAGTCGGGTACGACATCCGTCAATACTTCTTCCCAATTGATGGACGTTCCAATGAATCCGACGACTGTCGTGGGATCGTCCGCAGGAAAGATGGGATCGAAAAAGACGGCACTAGGTCCGGGACGGATGAAAATGGTGGTAAAGTCCGTCACGGATCCGCATTTGGGCGATTCGGTGGAGTTGGCCGGAGCGGCATTGCCGCAATCAATGATGCGCTCCATGAGAGATCCACGAAGTTCGAACTGATGCAGGTTCCGCATCAATATGGCTGGTTTCTTCAAGGTGTTCTTGTGCTGCAAAAAAGGGATTGAAATGTTGTATCGATTGTTCCAGATGCGCTCTGTTGTATTCTGGTGAAAGCGGCAATCCTCGTACTCGCACTTGTCCTTGTCGAGTTGCTCTTCCCAAATGCCAAAGCCAAACGCCGAATTGCCCGCTTTGGGCGGATACTGGAATCGTTCGTAGAGTTCTTTGGTGTGTGCTTCAAAGTCGGCAATCTGATCTTCACGGACGACCGCCATGAAGCCGTGTCCGGCCGTGGCGCTCATGGCTGCCACCTTGGTGGCCAGCTGCGTGTATCCGCGGAGTCCTACAAAGGGCCATTGACTGGCCGCAGGAAAGGCATAGGAGAGCGCATTCGCCAAACTGTCTGCGCCTTGTTGCTTACGCACGGCAATGGCTTGAGCTTGTTCCAGCGCCGATGCGGCAATGGACTCGAATGTCTCTTCCGCCGTGTTGGACTCCATATGCCTCAAGATGAAATACGTCGCCAAGCCAAATACTATCGCCGTCCCAATCATGGTGCACACAAACAGAGCGCGGAACTTGGTGGTGGTCGTCATGTTGCGACAGCTCGTGATGGTGCGATGATGATGATGATGAGGATGGTGAGGATGATGAGTAGTCGAGGGAGAGTTCATTGTGGTCAACCGTCTGGAGGTTTTGAAACCCAAAAAAGAACGCGATAGACACCAACGCAGAGACTGCTGGGATCAGAAGTAGACCTTGGAGAGAGAAGTAGACTTCTTTGGTGGTCCTCGCAATGGTAGCTAGCTCTTGCTCTATGATAGTAGCAGTAGAGCACAGGAGACGATGTGGTACCAGCTTGGAGCTCACCTTGCTAAACAATGGACCAAACCAGGTGGGAAAGAAATGCTACGTGGTGGGAACACTGCTTCCTCCAACAGCCTCGGATGGACCTCGGACAGGACACTCTCTTGACTACACCGAATCATTGTCGAACGATTATGAAACCAATACTCCGGAGTACAGCCGTGTCAAAGTCGACAGATGGAGGGCAATAGGATGATTTGGAACTAAAAAATCGACGATCCCAGCAAAGAACAGAAAGAAGAGGCCACTGTAAATAGGAAATGACTCCAAAGAGATCCTTAAGTTTTGATTGGCCCTACATTCGTTAGAGTTCCTTTCTTGGGCAATAGCTAGAAAAGTCATTGTATCATTGTCAATTAAAGTCAAAAACAAAGAGAATAAGCTATTAAATATTCAATTCCAGATGCTGCTTGGCTCCCTCCAATCTTCAACCCTTCATTAATCTTCAATCCTATCGCAAGTTCCTGAGAAATCCGATCCTTCCGTATGAGAGCTCGTATGAGTACTGTACCAGTCAACCGCTATCATACCGAAAGTACCAGCCTCCTGTATGTAGACTGACGTACCGTAACAGAAGACATAAAGGTCGAGATGCAGAGAGATAACGCAACCATGCTGCAAGTAGCAGAGAAGCGAAGTAGTATCCCAGATCCCAGGAATTTCAAGGTATCCATAATCCATACCAATAGTGGTATAATAATAGCCCCAACGCCCCAACACTCCCAACTCGACCCACAATCCCACAAATAATGCAAACAAAACTAGTAGACTATTGGCAAAAGAAAAGAAGCCACAAAGAAATAAATGTCGTGTACAAAGATGAGTCTAGACTTGCAGCGATCCAGGAAAACAGGCCTGCTGAATGCTGAACACTCAGATCCATTCCAAAGTACAGTAGTCTACAGTGTGACAATGTAACAATCATTACTCCGAGTACTTGGAACCAACGCAGCACAGGCAATATTGCTTTCTTGGCTCCCCCCGCAGACCAACCACTCCCCCCGCAGCCCAACCTCACCTCGCATGCTAATACAAAGAAGCCGACTTTCCTGTTGCCAACTGCTACACGTAGTTGCTACAAGAAGCAGGGTTGAGGAGCTGTTGAGGTTGTAGTTGCATCAAAGCATCACAGCCACCTACTCCCACCATCTGCTCATCATCCACAACCCACAACTGTTACCACCGCGTAGTACTCTCACTCGCAAACTAACTGGCTATCCAGTAGAAGGATCGTTACACCCCTTCTCAGCTAGGTGACCAAAAAGTAAGGACCACCGGTTGGATTTGTGCTACTGGACTTCAAAAGCCATAAAAGCTGAGTAGCCAGCTACATGTAGATAGTAGAGGGCCAAGGCCTGCAGGTTTCCTTCTGAACATGCGGCGCAATCTTTTATTATTATTTGAGCGATTCGATTCTCGGAGAAAGAAGTTGACCTTCTCCTCTCCCTCTAGCTAGCTAGTAGAATGCAAGTAAAGTTGAATGAGTGTTGTGCTTTGGATTACACTTCAAGCGAAAAGGAAGCAAGGGGAGTGTGCCATTGCCAACCCCCGCCTTCACCTGCCAAGTGTTCCAAAGGTTCCAATAGCTAGAGGTGAGTTTACGATTCTACTACCAGGTAGTACCGCTAATAGCCAGACTACTACCGTAGCTAACTACATTGTAGAGCACCGGTAGATTCGATTCGATTTATTTGACACTGTGGACACACGATGCGATTTTCGAACAGCTTTACTGGCTGACAGAGCCAAAGATCTTCAACAGCATCACCTTGCCTCTCCAGAATTGAAAGCACATCATAGAACATAGAACAGCCTCCAGGCTCCAAAAGAAAGGAACAGCGGCCTTTGCGAGCCGCGGTCATTGTTGTACATGTAGAGCAACCTTTAACCTTTAAAATGTCCTTATGAATTATGAATTGCAATTGCAGTTGAAACGAGAAAGAAAGATACCGGTACCGGTAGGCGGCAGGCCAGGAGTGCTCAATACCGCCGCAAGAAACCAGAAACCATCTAAAGTCAGAGGTCAGAGGTTCCATCAGTTAGTTTTTGGAGTACGAAGTACGAAGTGCAGCCTGAGTGCTCTAATGGTCATACGATTTCGCTCTATCATTGTTGTCTACGGTACTCTAGTAGAGATTCATACTCGTAGCTAGCTACCGATATTACTACTCAGTAGTAGCTATTCACACCCACCACACACCACACCACTGTGGCTAGTTCTCTAGCTACATGTAGACCACGGTACGGAACTCAGTAACAAATAGTTACATATATTTTTTAAAAAGGTTGTTCCCCTCTACCGGTAGCTAGCTAGTAGACCGGTAGACTACTAGTACATCGTATTGCTTGACGAAGCCACAGAGGACACATACGGTACCGTACCGTAGCACTACTAGTAGTGTACCGGTGCCGGTACGATACCCCAGACACGCAAAAGCTACATGTAGTTCCGGGTACGTACCGTTGCTTCAGTCCGGAATTGAATCTTGTACAACGTTTATGAGAAAGTGGAAGCTCCAAATGGGCAAAAACGTTTCGTCAGTCTATGCACATAGGTATTACCTGTAGACTGACGAAACGTTTTTGCTGGATTGATGACTTCCTCATCTCACAGAGCTTGCACAGAGGATTGGATTGACTGAAATCGCTGATTTTCATGGGATTTCGAAAATGTGAGGTCAAAATGTGAGGCTTAGTTTTAAACTAGATGGCCGGCTCTCCAGTCACAGAAAGTCTTTCGAGTTTTGGATTTAGCCGTTGCATCCAAAGAAAATCGCATCCCACCATGGGTGTCTCTTTTCGATCATGTTTATCAGTCTCGATGACATCCTCTCGTTCCGTGAAGTCTCTCACAACAAACAAGATCAATATTTCCGACCATGGGCATCGGCCGGCATCTCATTGGGTTTTGTCTTTAGCAGATGGGATCGATATTTGGGTGGTTCAGCGACCATGTTGATTGCTTGAGAGAGCTCAAACTCGCATCGGATTCAACGGCAGAAGATCGCATCCGAATCAGTCGGAGGCATCTTCATTCTTCGCGGAAAGCGTCTCATAAATTTGAAATACACACCTTTACAGGGAAAGCTCTGTCGAAATGGTGGCTCTTCATTATCTTTCTTCTTCAGTCGATCGATCGATCGACCATGGGGATCGGCCGTTCGGTCTGCCGTCGTTTCATTGGGATCCTTCTTCTTGGGCTGTTGTCTTCTCCGTCGCTGTTATCTTACCGGTACAAGGCTTCCGATCCATGCTCCCTCCGTTGGGTTCACCCTTCCGTCCATCGTTGACTGATCTCTTCGTCCGTCGTTGATCCTTCCACCATGCCGAATCCCAATCCGGTTGCCCCAAAGCGCCGCAAGGGCAGGAGATTGAGTGCCAAGAAGAAGAAGAGGAAGAAGCCGGCTCAACAGACTGTCACTCCTCAGACTCCTCATGAGGAAGCAATAGCAAAGCGTGTCAAGCGTGCGAGTGAAGTGGCTGAAGCTTTGGGGATGAGTCCAACCCGTCGTGCTCATCATGCTCGTCTTGCAGATCTTTCCTCCGATGAGGAGGAGCCTCCGGTCCTTGGCGGATCGCCTCAAGCCTGACGAAGACTCAATGGAAGAAGACGACTCGGATCCTGCTCAACATGACGATGACATGGATTACATTCCGGATGAGCAGAAAGTCAAGGCTGCTTTGGCGCAGATATTGCCAGAGGAGAGAGCGAAGAAGATGGCTATTGCATATCTTTATGCTTACAAGTATGCATTCCACGAGGACACGAAAGACACTCCATGGATTGGCATCAACGGCACGCAAGTCAAGATACGCAGAGACTTGTACGAAGAAAGCAACCGGACCAAGTATGTTGACGTCTTCACAGACTTGCATCACTGCTGCGAGCAACACATTGTGTACACTGGCCAGCGGGTTCATGCTGGACTCAAGCCCGTCATCATCCCCAACAACTCGTTTGATGCCGTCTTCATTGCCAACTGCATTGAACGGAAGAGCATGAGCGTTACAATGGCGATGCAACATCTGAATCGTCTTCGAATTGAAAGAGGCTTTGTCCCTTATTCCAGGTCTGCCGTCGATGGCTTGAAGAAACGACTCAAGCACAGGGTGGTGCCAATTCGCAAGCGGAAGCAAGGCAACAGGGATGTCAACTCCCCTTGGGCACTTCGTCGTCATGGTTGGGCTGCACAGCTCTTGCTTCGCATGGGACATGATGTTGATGTTCCTGACCGGCTTCGTGAGGCTGCGCTGACGGATCCTCCGGAGGAACTACCTCAGCGACAAGTTGTGTTGGGCTTGGACGGCTGGATCAGTGACGAATCGTCTGGTTCCTCTTACAAGGCTGATTCTTCCAGCTCGATTTCCAGTCAACCGCCTCCGGCTCCCCCTCCTGATGAAGTCAGTGCGAACGACGAAGGCAGTGCGAGTTCCAGTTCGGAACAACAGCCTGACGATTCCTCTCGTGCGTCTGGTTCTGGCTATGAGTTTCCACTCCCGCCCTGCTTTGATATTGAGAAACTCAAAGCCGCAGGATGGGATTTTCAAGTCGATGAT